TAGCTATTAATAACGATTTGGATCGCATTAGTACTTGGGCAAAATCGTTTGGCCTCATGCTTAACCCGAGTAAATCTCAGGCCATTGTGATAGGTAGCAGGTTTAATATTAATTCTATTTCTGCATTATCTTTACCACCCCTGCTTTTAGATGGGACTCAGATCGAGTTAACAGACACTGTAAAAAATTTTGGAATTACAATGGATTCAAATCTATCATGGACTGCCCATGTATCTGAGGTTAGTCGTAGGACCTTCTTCTCATTTCACACACTTAAATGCCTTCAAAACTTTTTACCTTTTAAAACTAAAGTGTTACTAGCACAATCCTTAATTATACCTCTTCTTGACTATGCAGATGCATGTTACTTGGATGCCACTGAGGAGTTATTAAACAAACTTGAACGACTTCAAAATCTAGCGATTAGATTTATTTATGGTCTTCGTAAGTATGATCATGTGTCACATTTACGTAAGCAGCTCATGTGGCTTCCCATTCGTCAGCGTAGATATGTCAGGATTGTCTGTCTTCTGTTCAACATCCTGTATAATCCCGTCTATCCTTCCTATCTGCGTGAGCGTTTCTCCTTTCTCCGTTCTCCTGATGCTCTTTGCAGATCCCACCTTAAGTCTTCAAACTCCTTCACACAAAACGGATTTTGCTTCATATTCCTTCACTGTTCATGCTGCTAGACTCTGGAACTCTTTGCCTGCCGATATACGTGACAGTCGCACTATTTCTGTGTTCAAAAAAAGAGTAAAGGATCATTATCTTTCCTGTTGTTGATATTGGATAGTGTAGGTATTATTAATCTTTATATATTATAGATATATATATTATTATTTATATAATGTTTGAACCGTTATGTATTTTTATTTTCTCTCTTTCCCGGTATTTGAATTTGTTTTTTTATTCCATATTAATTTATTTAGGAGGTACACACTGACTACCTTATTGTATTTCTTTTTCCTGTTTTGGGTCTGCTGGTAGAAATTTCAATTTGAAATAAGCAGTGCCCTTGTACTAATGTCTGTTACATTTGTTCATATGAAATTGTATGCATGTACAAAATAAATAAATAAATAGATAATCCAACATTTTGTGGCGGCGGCTATCTTGTATATAAAATTTTGTCATAGTAAACAGTATTCTACTACTCAAGCCCTTTTATTTAATGTCCTTATTGAGGGAGTCGTGAAAAATATGTAGGTAATCCAACATTTTTGGTGGCGGCCATCTTGGATTTGAAATTTGTCATAGTGTTCAGTATTCTACTACTCAAGCCCTCTTATTTGATACCCATATTGATGGAATGGTGATAAAATATGTGATCCGACATTTTGTGGCGGCGGCCATCTTGTATCGATTTTCATCAAAGTGAAGAACACTCCCGACTAATACACCTTTTAAACAAAATCAAAATGGGTTCATCCGTTCGGGAACTATGATGCTACAAAAAGACACAAACACACCACACACACACACACAGAGACATGTCAAACTTATAACACCGCGTCGTTTTTGCGTCCGGGATTAAAAATATATTGAATTTAGAAAAAGTTGTTTCATATGCGGATCTCCGATAAATTTGATATCGGTCGAATTGCATCGAGCCATAAGTCTAAGTTAATCCTCATTACGTAAGTCAACTTCTAGTGAAAGTCTCTTCAAAATCGGCCAAGCCGTTTCAGAGATTAGCCAGAACTAACAGACAGACAGATAAAATATATTATTTTTGTATATGTACCATGTATACACACAAATGTATTTAGTGAAAAGCGGTTATTTTAATATTACAAATATGCACTCCAATTTTATGTACTAGTATAAGTGTATTGAGAGAAGAAGTACCTTGCTTTATTTGCATTTCATAATATAAATATATATTTTAACTTTCTAATACAAATATACCTAGGGGTCTTTCGACCTATGCTGAAAATAACAAATGTGTATTAGAAATAATTCAATAAGCTATATAAATTCCATATAAATCGAACTTCGTGACCAAAGTTGGAAGTCCCACTATACTGCTCTATTTACGTTCGCTCGAACGTATCTAGATCGAAAAATGGCGCGAAGAAATGCGACACAGGTCTAACGTTGAGGAGCGCTCGCGCGGTACTGAGCTCAGACGGCCGCTGCATCTTATTTTGTAGTGATTTTGCGTTTACATTTATCGTATTTATTGAAATAATATAATAAATTTATGCTTTAAAATTATAATAACTTTGTTCCTTATGAAATAGTCATTAATCTGGCATAAATTTTGTTAAATAATATTGTTGTGGCTAAGAGAAATTCAAAGTTAACTTCAAGCAATTTTTGATGTTTTTTGGTTTGTAATATAATTGTTTTTCTATATTTAATCAGTGCTATTTCAAAATTTCGAGCTACTGTTTACTTTACGACTATATAAGAGATATCATTCTATTTCTTTTATTTCGTTTGTTAAGAACAGTAGCTCAATCCAGGACTTCAAAAAAGTGTCTTTGCGCATTTTATGAAAAACTTTCTCTGGTATTTTGGATCTAATTAAAAAGATGAGCAAAATTTCCAAAAAGTTGAGCCACTAATTTCTATACCAAGAGTTATTCTTCACTATTCAACAAGTCAAAATTGTTAATTTGTTTTTGTTTCCGAGAAAAATCACGCAGAAATCACAGTTGCGATGTAATATGGCTCTTAACCAATTAATGTTCATAAAACTTTCTAGCCCACCAAAAATGTGTCTTATAACATTTCTGTCTGGAACCTACCAAAACAACATCTCAAAAACTTTGAAACGGTATAAGCGAGGCGAACATTCTCCACCAGTCGTTGTACACAAACGGGACGCATACGCATCCGTCACGCGCATCCGGCGCACGCGCATACAACAACGCAACCCCGCGCCGACGGACGTCGCATTCAACCATCGCCCGTGGTACGCTATACCGCTGCCTTTGATACACGCACCGCGAGATTCTTTTAATAGTGTTCATTACCATGTGAGTGCTTGAAAGTTGAAGGATATCGACAAAATGGTGGAGTTCGCTTTGGAGAAAGTTGGTATTATGTTTGATTAAGATGTAACTTACCAATCACATTGTGCTAATTTTACAGAACTGCATTTTAAAAGCTTCATATTATAACTATATAAATTTAGTAACATGGATAATAAAAGTTATTAAACTCGAAACATTTTCTATAATATGTTTGATTAAAAGTTTGCATTCACAATGCCAAATTCATATATATCTGAAAAAGAATGCTTAAAAATTTCAGTAGCCCCAGGTGCACAAGATAGAATTCGAACACTAACAGTTGTTTATTTACTGTCATGCTTTTAAGATTCTTCTTGTAAATTTGGTATCATCGAAGATAATAATAATAATAAGGGTGAGATAATCTGTATAAATAAATCGCTGCTAACTTGGATAGTTTAATCATGAACTTCTTTGTAGATTCACCACGCATAACTTAAATGATGCAACTTTTAACACCGATAATATGATATGAATGACAAAATATTAACAATGAAAAGCGCTTAAAAAATCCACTTCATCCCCAAAGTGCACATTTTTCATTAAGAATATTTTCCAAAATAGCATTTGTCAATGCAAAATAAAACAAATATAATTATAATAACAATAATAATAATAACATCTTTGTTTGTAATAAATAAGGTTATATGTACAGTGATGATATTTAAATTTCAGTGACAGCTTTCCCTTATTTAGCCATCTTGAATAGCCAAAAAATGTAGGTTTTATAATGATTAAACATGAAATATTTCATAAAAAAGATAAAATTGTGTCAAATTTAACAATATCAATTATAGTAATATATGTGCTTTTAATCAAAATATTACAATTGTGTCAAAACTTCAATAAATTATTACAGTGCAAGTCCATCGATTGAAATTAATTAAAGTAAATAATGGAAAAAATAAAGGTCAAATAAAATTATAATAATCACTATACATAGATTTTTTATTTATATTATTATAATTATATGAGTTTTGTTAAAAAAAAATGACTTTCATTCTGATACCTTGAACACTTTATATATATCTGACTTATTTGTTAAGAATCTAAAAATTAAAGTTAAACTAGGTAAGATCCATCCGATTTTTGTAAACTCATATTAATATTTAAGCTCTCTATTTCAACATTCATAGACGATTTTATTTTATTGCCATTTACATAACGTCATAGTTATTGAATGACTACTGGCCTTAACCGACCGAGAATGGAGACTGGCCACGACAATAACCAAACAGAAAAACAAAAACAAAGATTTTGAAAATAACTTTTAAATTAAGTCGCAATAAACAAAAGAGTCGTGTATGTGTGTACATGTTTATGCAAATTACATATAATTCCAATACTATTATGATACTTTCATTACATTCTACAATCCGACAAGTAGAGTATCACACAATTCTGTGAATTATACTCGTATAGAATAAACAGTTACACAGTAAAACAATTCGAGTTTTACTAACCAATAGCCTATTGTTTCTACTATTCCCAAAGAAATCACAATACAGTTAAATGAAAACAGAATACGTCTTTTCACAGAATCAGCAGGCGGGTACATCTGGTGACAACTTCAGACAGTTCCATGAAAACTACAGCTACCCAATGCACCAGAATCAAAACCAAGGAACAATATCGAGAAACATTCAATACGACTCACCGAAACCGGCCAAAAATGTTTATGGTACTAAAACTGAAACGCAGAATAACTCACAAATGATAACAGTCACAGTAGAAACCGGCAAAGATAGTACACGAGATGCACCTAAGAGCAATAAATCCGTGAGTAAAACTTACCACACCCTCAAAGATATGATCTCTAGTAGATTCAAAAGCAAAGACAGTAATGACAATGAAAAGAATAATGAACCAGAATCTAGTCTAAATAATAGTGAAGAAAGAAAACGATCCGAAGCAGAGCAAACTCCTCCTAGAGAAACGAATACAAGGAAAGCTGAACAAGGCATATATGGAAGACCGATGCCACAGAACCGGCCTGATTTGCAGTACAGTCATAATATGGCAAACAATATGGCATACCCTAGTCCTTCTCCGCACAGGTAAATATATAAGTAAGCTCAATTATTTGTTATTTAACTGCCTGATACAAATTTCACAGGATAAATTTTATTTCACAGACAACTAATGCAGCAGCAAATAGTACAGCAACAGATGCTTTTAAACCAACAAGCCAGGTCACAAGAAATACTGACATCGAGTCCTCATACACGATCCCAGCCTCAAGCATTAGGTGCAGACGCCTTATATCAACAATATGGACCTCCAGGACGAAGAAGCGCCCTCTATCAACGAGACGTCGACGTCAGATCTATGGCCAACTTTACTTCTTTAAAGACCGGCACTCAAACTCAGGTAATAAAAGTGTTCTTTACATTTTTAGAAACAAACAAGTCACAAATCTTTATTATTCCAAGCCCATAATAAATCTTCATTAACTTTTATATTACATAGCTGACATTCATGAAACTGCAATTATATTTTCTTTATAATTTTAGACGTGATAACGAAAATTTTGAATGGCTTGGGAACTATAAGTCAGCACTCAAACGGTGTAGATTAACGAATGCTCAGAACTAATTACCTTATTCGTAATTCATTGACCAAAAAATATGGAATTATGAGAGAGAAAAAACGCTGCAATAGTTCGCTTGCAACACTTCTCGACCTGTTATATTCCGTTCTCACTAGCAACCTCAACAAGACAAAGAACAATGATTCTCATCAATTAAATAAGACTTCCCACGGGCTCTACAATTACAAAAGCATGTACCGGAGCTTTGTATTGCCGACGAGAGATCTTGGAACTTATTTTTACATTCTCAACAAGAAAACTTTATTGAATCATTGTTTTCTTCTTCATAAATAAGTCCATCATGTTAGACAATTTTAATTTTAAAATAAGTAAATATTTTCTTAAATTTCATATTTAAGTCTAAACAAAAATGGCTGTTTTAGCAGCAATATGGTTAGTTTTATGGATAATTAATAATGCAACACGTGTTGCATATTACCAATTAATGATGAGATTATTTATTAAGAATTTGTATGCATGATTCGCTCGAACAACATATAATATTTGATCCATACTATATTGTGAGAATCTGTTACTGTGTGTAATTAAAAAGTACTGTTCCAAAAGTAACCTCCAAATGTCTAAACCAGTTTAGCAACTAATGATGGACGCGTTAACAACTGTGAAAGAGGAAGTACTTAAAATATTTTAACTCCTTGTTTACAGTTATTGTAAGATTTCAATTAACAACATCAACAATTATTTCATAATAATCAGTCTATAACAGTGTTTTAATTCTTCAGAAGATTAATTAAAAATTTATTACTTCCATGGGAATTAATGGCTTAACCAAGTGCATTCGTTAAATAAATTAGCTACTATAATGCTAAATACCGTAATTTATTCGATCAGGTCTGAGGACTGTACAAAAATTATATAACCAATATAATATATTATTATTCCAGTGTGAAAATTCGCATTCTCGACCAGATTTAAGAAGTCCTCAGCAACTGGAAAGAGAAATTATTCGTCAAAGAGGCTTCGTTGAAGGCAGACGAGCTTCATCACATCCTCACCTTCTAGACGAACAACAACCCAGACTTGAATTAACATCTCCTCCTATTCGTGACCGCTCTCGAAGAAACTCACATGGAAATCTACTGGAAGGAGTGAGTGAAATCGAACATCAACATAACCGTATCGATGAACGGGAATCTGATGACGGGGGATTCAGAACACGACTTGCTGCTCAAGAAAGATCAAGTCTTGAAGATCGAATAAGAACAAGCGGTCGATCGATTGAATCTCAAAGAATGCAAGAAAATATTTACAGAAGAACTCCAGAAATACACAAAGAACGCAGAACGCCTGAAATTCATAGGGAAAGACGAACACCTGAGATACATAAGGAATCTCGTAAAACGCCTGACTCTATAGGACAGAAAACAAAAGATGAGCAAGGAATGTCTTCGAATCATGTGGATAGGAATGATGAAAGTGTGAGTCAAAAGTCGGCTGATAGCGTTTACAATTCTAGCGGAAAAATAGAAGCTTGTCAACCATCGTCTTCAAGACAAACCCCAAATAGGATAGAAGACCTCAAAGCACATGGGAAAAAGGGGGCCGGATCTGGGGCTAGTTCAGGTATGTATAGCATTTCCAAAAAAATAAAATTAATATTTTAGATAAATATGAATTTTCATGCTCAATATTATTAATATATTTAATAATATTGAGAAGGTTTAACTATCGATTTAGTTTTATTTCCTTTACGGAATGTTTTGCCCTAATTTGTATTTTTTATTCTATCACAAAATAAATAAAAATCAATTCAATAAATGCCAGTTTCTATTCTAAATATAAGAAAGGTATTAATCGTGGTACCATAGAATAAAATAACTATATGTCTTGATTTTAGATTACGACAAAAACGGTGGTCAATCATCCAACGTAGATTCTGGAAGAGGCAGTGTAGCGTACTCAAGTGGACGAAGACCTGAAGCTTTGCACGATACTTCAGCTGATTCGGATGCGGTGGGACATTCTAGAACGCAGCCACAACCAGGCACCAGCCAGCAGATTGCAGGACCGAGTACGTCATATTTTCCTTAGAATATTTATCAATTTTACAAACAGTTTATATAAAGACTATTAATTTATATTCTACTAATAACACAACTTTTAATGAAATTTTATCATATAGATCTAAAAAGCAAAAAAAAACTCGTCGCAGAAATTTTTGCTTTATAAAATCAATAATATATCTACTATCTTTACGTTGCCCTATATGAGCAAACTTCGTCTAATTATTATATTTGATAAAATTTGCATTCACAATGCTATACTGAAAAATATCTTAATGAATATTGGGGGTGGTGGATTTTTCATTACAAACTTCAACTAATTTGAAGAATCGTAAAAGTCGTGTAAAAACGTAAGCATAATTGAACTTTTACAGGTGGCGAGAATGAATGGGCAGATCTGGTGGAGTGTGAGTTACGGCAGATCTTGGAGCCGAAGCTGGCCGGCATGCGACTCGACTCATCAGGCAGCTCTGACAGCTCCGTGACACCTCCCCTACCGCCTCTCTCACCATCCTCCGACATGCATAAAAGAAATAGGTGAGTTTTTTAGTAGTTTTTGTATTGTCGGAGGATATGTCCACAACAATGCCAAAAAATCTTTCACTGTCGACAATTTTCGTTTTAATCTGAGGATTTATTTCTAATTTCGACTATTTGCTCATATACATCAAAGCGATATAATATATAATCTTCCTTTGCAATTTTAGTCTTCCAGGGAGATCATCCGAGTACCCTGATGAGCGACGGCGAGGTCGGGACTCACCTCGTTGGCATTCTCACAAGAAACATTCATCGAAACGGGACCACCATTATAAAAAACATCGTGAGTAAACTTTCCATGTCCACCTTTTCATCAGTCCATTATGACCGTAACGCGAATTTGTACTACTTGTGACTATCACAATAAAGATTATAGCTTATTTGCACCTTATTAAAATATTGTAATTGTAATCCTTTTATTCCTTCAAATACTCGCTGATGTAATTATTGAACAATTTTATTTTTCTTATTTCAGTGTTCGGCTTAGATACCACCGATATGACATCAACAACGACTCGCAGCCTGGATCTTTCGTCACTTCTGGACGGGAGAACAGACAGTGATGCGTCCACAGGAGATGCGAGAGCTATTAGAAGGCAGCTTAGAGGATTAGAGAACATGTATGCTGAAGTTCTACAACTGCTAGGTGTAAGGAAACCAGCGAGTTTGTCCAAGCATCCTACATGGGAATCGAGGTGAGAAGAATAAGCAAGTAGACTAGTGAGCGTGTGCGAACACGCTCTTAACCAAACATCGTATGGACCTTTATTTAAATAAATTTATTCAAACATTTTTGACTGTCCATTTTTTCAGTTATTCAATCCATCTTTTAAGTAAACAGGATAATGGGTGAAAAAACTTATCAGCTCATGACAGTCAATAACACAAGTCATTGTTATGGCTCAATTAGAGTCAAAATATCCTTATTAAAATATTTTTCATAAAGTAGTTTTGAATCGTCTACTACCCGTTCAAAACGTCGTTTGGCTAACAATAAGAAAGAACAAAAGAAACACCACTCTTAACAGAGTTTCTAACGTAATTTCGACTAGAAAAATATAAAAATTTATAAAATCTTTTGTCATGAGTCTTATTAAGAAAGCCTAAATAAACTAGCGACTTCATTTGAATATTTTTAAAATCTGATGTTTAAACGAAAAATGTACTTAATATTTTGCCTTCTGTATACTCAATAACTATGTTATTGTAATTATTATCCAGGTTATCATCAAAGCGTCGCTATGGCAGTATGTCATCGTTGCCGTCGAGTTCTGTGAGTAGCCGTCCTGCACGTGACAAACGCCGGTCTAGCAACGAACATAGAAAGAAGAACGATCTCAAGGTAAAACTAATTTCGAAACTACTACACCTACAATAGTTATATCCTCAGTACACCAACAAGAGCGCTGATTGTACTGGCCCGGAAAGAATACCAGCGCTGATGCGGGAAATTTCAACCAATTGGTCCCCGTACCAGCACAGGCTGAGGCGGAGTCCCAATTGACCCCATCACATATGTATGTTGACTTAGAGACGTCTGTGTTTACCGTTGCTTTGTTCTATATTACTTTCACTTTTTATTTTTAACTCTCATGTTATAATGTGATGGTCAGTGGAAATGATTACTTACATACATGAAACATGGTCTGCAAAAAAAGGTCTGTAGTGCAAGCAGATGGAATGTTGACATTATATTGGAAGCAGGTCACCCTACATTTAATACTCCGGAAATGGAATGGGGCAGATGAAACTAAAACTTGAAGATCATTTGCACACATTCCAAAGTATATCCTATGAAATACAGACCCACCAGTAACGTTTTTACATTTTTTGATTTCTATAAATGTGTAATACATTATCAGTATGAGTGTCCAATTGGTCTTAACTAGATTTTCAAAAGAGGCGATTTAGAAAATTCATCCCACATGTGACTAAGAAATCGTAGGGCCTTCTTTACGTCGTAAAATTTGTATTTTGAATGTATAATAAAAGTATTTGATCCAGCAAAAAGTACCTCCTAGTTTAAGAGTGTTTACCAAACTTTGGCTTCAAAATTTGCTCGATTTCATATATGAACCAATGTTAATACAGGACCGAATATTTGCAGGGTATCAACAAACGCTTTCAACGTCTGGAGTCACACGTGGTGACGTTGGCGCGATCCGTAGCTCATTTGTCGAGTGAGATGCGCACTCAACACCTCGTGATGCAAGAGATGGACAACATACGGGCAGAGATAGCCGCACTCAGGCACATGTACAAGTAAGGGTCCATCTGATAATGTTATATTTGATGTTCAAAACCTCGTCAATCTGGTATCATGCTTTTAAGGACATGTACAAGTATGTTTGTCCTCCTAAATATTCTGCGTGTTTTGATTCGAAGAGTATTCAGACTTACTGAGAAACTTGTTAGAAGACGATGGCAATTCATTCGCCAATGAAATCCCCGATAAAAGAAAAATTTTTACTCTACTTATCTTACACAATTTTAAAATAATAAAATGTTGTTTTGTTCGTGTAGATCGCAGCAGTACATCAGGTCGGGTCAGCGGCCCTCAGATCCGTACTCGTTCAGTAACCCGGACCGCGTCAAGCGACTCACAAAGTTCTTCGGAGACGAGCCACCTCTCATGAGGCTGTTCCTCAAAAAACTCGGATATGAGGTAATTTTTTTTTTCAACTTATACCGAACTCACTCGCTACTAGCTTCTAAATCTACACCTCTATAATAAAATCGCGATAATAGGATGATACTATTTCCCCACTTCTCTGTACTTACCAGATCTTAATCATACTCCACAGAGATACGCAGCATTGCTGGAAAAAGAGAAAGTGGGTGCAGCAGAGCTGCCGTATGTGGGCGAGGACAAGCTGCGGGCGCTGGGCGTGCCGCTCGGGCCGCGCATGCGGATCCTCAAGGAGGCGGGACTGCACCACCACCTGCAGCTGCCCAGGGACGACCCGCACAACACCACCACCACGCTGGCTATCGTCTGACCACAATGTCCACCACGATCGGTTCACTAGCATTAGCCATTACGGAAGTCTGTTGCAATATTTAAGTTTATTACGATAACTGTTAACTACCATGTTTAGTAACTTCCAACCCAGTTAATATCTACAGGACACTGTGCACCAATCGCAAATAAACAAACGTGCACAAGCGGCAAAAAATATCGCAACCTTTACAGACTATTATACCTATTGAGAGAACGAAATGTAGTGTAATGTCCGTGATATTGATTTTTTGCAATAGCCGCCAAATATTCTTGTATTTTTGCGGGTGGTGTACAAACTTAATTAGTGAAGTAAATGTGAAAGTTGAAAAATGTCTTAGTATTATTGTCTATAATGAGACAGTCGATATTCTTTACTTTTCTTATTAAATTAAAAGACATTGGATTATTTTGCTCATAAAATAGAATATTTTATTTTACATGATAAGAAAGACATAAAATACTCATAATGCATCTCAATATTATGTTAAGAGGCTATACTCAAATAAAATAAATACTCAGATAAAATAATGAAACAAATAATTAAATATTAATATGGTATAACATAAAAAAATATATATACCCTGAAAAAAATTTTGAACCTTTATAATCAAGTTTTTATCAATCTTATACACAGGTACGTAGACCGGTAAGTCAGGCTCATTTTTTACAAAAATTTACATTATTTCACTGACTAGAGCAGTGGAATGAATTCAAAACTAGTAACAAGCCTTACTGATTTTGTTCCTGCATACAACGAATATATTTTAAGTAATTCTATTAAAGTTTTAAATCATATGAATATAAAATACATAGTAAAATAACAACATTTAACATAAAAAAATTAACGTAAAGCTCACATAATACGTACGTATAAATCACACACTGGAACGTTAATGCCAAAGAATTGACTCGGAGTGTGTTGAATTATAAGCAACATTGTAAATATTAGATTAATTAAATATATAATGTAAATGTAAATATTAATCTGGAGCAACGAAATATGACAATAGTATTTAAGATTTGAAGTTGTATTATTATCTGTAACCCTTGTTATATTTTAAGGGTGATTTTTGTAAATAAATATAAGATAAAAAAGCACAATATTTTTAATATACAATAACTCCCCTTAATCTTAATATATGAATACTAACTTACAGAGTTATTATAGAGAGCTCGAATCTCAAATGAAGTAGCTAGCGACATCACTTGTATTATGGAAATCTGAAACAACGAAAGTAACTCAATACCCAGACTCGAGACAATATAGAATAAAAGTTATCTAGGTATGGTAGAGTAAAAAGTTTAACATAATTAAGCTGTCTTTGCATTCGCGCGATTAATTTACTCGTATACCTATAAAATTATAATTTCGAGTTGTATTCAATTCAATGTTACATGTTGAGTTTCTTGATTTTCATAATTCAATTTTTTTACATTAGGTATTTCATTTTGGTAGTAGAAAAAGCGCGAAAAGTAACATACAAATTTTTCGGGTGGATTGTATTTAATGGGACATTGGGGCACTGATGAAAAGAGTAAGTAAATTTCTGATCATAATTATAACGTATACCTAGCCAAAGCCATGTACGACAAAAAATTATAGATATTATTGTCGCTTTTCATCAGTCACGATGTCTCCAATAGAAATAGAGCTTGGATTATCTAATCATCAATATAAAATACTATTTCAAGTTGTCAACTTCACATTTAAACAAATACCTAGCCAGACAGATTACTATAAACGAGCAGACATTTATTTGATGAAAGCAGACACAATTGAGTAAATTATATATATAAAATACATTATTATCTGTGCTTCGGTAGTCCGGGTCGGTGTGTCAAGTCTTAATAAGATAACTAATAGCAAAGTATTGTATACAATACTGTGCCAATTGTAGGGTTGTCATTAACGGACGAAGGGGCCGTCCATTGATCACGTGATGTTTTATTCAGTATTTTTGGTGATACATGGTGAGGTTTAAGACTAAACCTCCCCTCCCTTCCGCCCAAATTACGTGTATTTTTAGTATCTACGAAAAATCTTAATTTTTAACGCTTCTTTTCTTTTTAGTAATCACGCGGTTGAGGAAAAATAAATAGACGTACCCCGATAATAATAATAACGATATATTCGTAAGAAATCACGAAATATCACAAGGGGGGACCTTGTGATATTTCGTGATTTCTTACGTGAAATATGGTAAAAGAATACATATTGCGCCGATCTTATATATATATTTTCCATATACTAAATATCATTAAAGTTCGTCCAGTTTAGCTTTTGCATGACGAAGTACAAACATTCAAATCTACACACTTTCGCATTTTCATGTAAGTAAGATAAGATTATAATAAACTTTGGATAGCTCTCAACATATTAAAGCCTATTTTTAAAATTCATATTTATAGGGTAAGAAAGGTTCAAAGAGCTTTGTCTCGTTCTGTTTAGGACAGCCCTATTCTTAATGTCTTAAGTGAACGAGTGCTAAGTACATTGATTTAGACCGAAGACATTATAGTATTGTCCACCAGCCTGGTAGCACGCAACATGAGTTGTAAACTAGTTGCAGTATTTCTAACCATCATCGCGATCACCATTGCTGAAGTAACCGTCTTCAGGAGATGTGAGAAAGGTATCAAATATAATAATTAGATCAAATTTTCATCATATCGAAAATTTAAATATTTATAAAAATATTTATTTCGGCTGTTTGGGTGGATTCCTTGAACATTGATGAGAATACGCTCTGTATTAGCGTAAAAGTAAGAAGTGCTTGATTCGTCAGTCAGAAGATTCGTCAATCCTGTTAGGTCCTGGGTAGACCAGTGGCTAGAGCAGTCACCCGAATTGCGAAGGGTCATGGGTGCCCGGAACCAAGTGGATTTTTCAAGCATTTTTCGTTAAGAATAGTATATCAAGTTGTTATATGTCAAAATCCCACAGTTAATATTAAACTCTACCATCAATGCATAAAGTTTTAAAATCAAGAGTAGTAATTTGACAGATTTGTATAACCTGCCATGCTAGTGACTGAACATAAGTACTAAATGGTTTTAATATAAACAATATATTGCTAGCAAGGTGGTTTCCCGCGACTTTGCCCGTATGATGTAGCTTCCCATAGGTAAAAGAATTGTTATGATCGGATCAGTGTTTCCGAAGATATCCCTCTACAAACAAACAAAGTTAGAAACATACTTATATGAATGTTATTAATATACAAGTGACCGCCGATCATTATTTATAACCCATGTTTATACGTTTTAATAGTATCTTATCTGCAACTGAAAATAAGAAAGAGAAGCAATCTATACCAAGATTGTTAATAAATAATGTTAATAAAGTGCAAAGAGTTGTTTTTTGCAATGAATATTAATCTGGGGTTATACCTTTCGACATAGTCATAATTAATAAAATAGAATTATTTAATACTACTCCAAATGTATTTTAAAACAAACTCGTGCGAAATTGAGGAGCTCGACGGCGCAGTGGTAAACGCGTTCGGCTTGCGATGCAGAAGTTAAGCAACTTTCACAAGGGCCGGTCATAGGATGGGTGAGCAAAAATTTACGATCCTGAGCTCCTCTATGCTTCGGCAGGCACATTAAGCCGACGGTCTTGGCTGCATCTGCTGTCGTTAACGCCCACCATTAGGCCCGCGTGGTGGTCTCATTACCCATTCTTGCTATTTGATTTCGGTATATTTTACTAGCTGAGATACCGCGTTTAAAATCTCGATTAATGCTCTATTATTATTATGTTATTATTCATCATCAGCCCTATTACGTCCCCACTGCAGGGGCTCAGGCCTTCCTTATGGATGGTTAAGGAGGATGGGCCATAACCCTCCACGCTGGCCCAATGCGGATTGGAGGGTATACTTTGATACATATCAATTGATATTTATAATATTTTTGCTTAGGTTGAGTATTGAGTCTCAAATAGAAAATTAACCAACCTGATGTGCATCGAGCAACGTTGGCCCGAAGTAGTAATCTTATTTACAAGAGATTTCGAAATTTTAAATGATCAAATATTATATAAATCCGATGTATATCGGATATTTTCATATTTATTGTAAATATTGTACTTAAACAGGTTTTCGTTTCTGATTTTAGTTTTTTTAATGATCACTTGATAGCATTTTAATAAAAAGTAGAACTTTTGCCTCGTGACAAATAAAAAAACTTAGGTTATTAAGAATATTCAATTGGGATTTTGTACTTTTTTTCTGTTCTAATTAACGTCAAATTAACGATATCGTTTGTTCAAAAGCTTAATAAAAAAACGGGCGTCAAAATCGATATCATATGTCAATTAGTTGTAGCGAGAAGTTCGTGAATATCTTTCAAATATCTAATTAAAAGGGATTATGATCATTTTACAATCGAAGACCTAATTTTGAATACATAATAAGGTCTTCGATTCTAAAATAGTTAAAAGGTGTAATATTATTTAAATGCCAGGACTCTTAACTACTAGTTAAGTACACTGAAGAACTTTTACTATGAAAGCAACACTGAATTCACGAAAAAAATAATCAGCTATTTTATGTAAAATTGCAAAACAATCGTTGACAGTATGAAACAGCATGAGACAGTATGTTATCTAACGTATATAAATCCTTATAATCACCTAATTAAGTTGCATTTAAACTAAAAACACGAATAATATTTCTTGATGTTCTAGTGTCAATTATAAGCGATTACACCAAAAGAATATTAACGAGCGTGAATGCTCATTCGTCTCGAACCGAGAACTAGATTCCTGCACAACGTTTAGATCAAACCAATGCTCATGTAATCGATAGCTATATGTACACTGGAACACAAGAACGCTTTGAAGAGACCGCTCCTATGAGCGAGCGCCTCCGAACAACAAAAACGCTCTAAGCAACTGTTCTCACACCAAGCGAACGAACATTCTAGATAGAACAACGAGCGAACGCTCTAAGACTATTTACACTAAAATAATTCAATAAAAAGGGTATAGAATGAGCATTTGCTCGTTTGGTTTAAATCGGTCTTTAAGCTAACTCTGACATAAGCGTCAATGCAACAAATAATGTTTTTCGTCTATTATAGATTTATAACTTTTCTTATGTCAAAACAAATCATGGAGCCAAAACCATAGTTATGAACCATTACGGGCTATTATCCCATCAGACTCCCCGATTTCATTTGATTGATAAATTACATTTTTCTCTGCCAATGGTCGCTGATTGTAATTGTACCTACGAATATTATTTCCATGTGTCGTCCCCTGATAAATACATAGCTGTATGATTTATTACAATGTTAATAATGAATCTGTGTAACAATATATCTTAGTTTCTGATAATAAAAATCGGAACAATACAAATATTTATACTTAAAGAAAATTCTCGGATTAGATTTTTCGTTAGGATTTTGTGAGGTTATTTGTTCAAACCCTTCTCAGGCGGTCACATCTCTTGGTACTGGTGTATTTTTAAGCATTTGTTTAAGATAAATATCAATATATCATTAAAAATACAAAATTGATCGAGTATAATATTATACGTTATGTATAATAGACCAAAAATCCCTGAATAAATATGCTTAGGTGCACAAAAGCTTAGGTGCTCTATGAATAATGTATTGCAAATTTAAAAATTTATATTGGTAATGTGGCTTTCTAATTATTTACTATTTTATTGGAAGTTTGTGCAACGTGCAGAAAAAAAAATAGTTTGCTACGTTAATATCTAATATCAATTCCCAATGAAGGTCAATTTGAACAAAATTTAATCTTAAATAACAAAACGTTACACGTTTTCTTTTGTTTTGTTACTAAAACTTGTTTTGTTCTTCTTTTGTTATTAAAAATGTTTCTACATCGTAATATGTAAACAGTTATTAATAATAAATAAAACCCATAACCACAAAGTCGTGATTAACGCAATAATATTAAACAAGTAGATAACCTTTCAACTTGTCATATCATTGGTCGCTTGATGTCTTTGACCGATGAAACATATGTAACAGATACTACAACATATAAGACATACCCTACAGACGAGAAAACAGGCAAATAATGACATAAAATACCTAATATTGCAAATATTTTACATGTCACTTCGCGTAACTTTAAATTCTATTTATTTTTGCTACTATCGGTCAGTTGCACAAACGTCCATTAGAGTTTAATGACGCCTTTAAGCTCTAATGAATGTCAAATTTGTATGGGTAATGTCGCTTTAAACTAATGAAATTTTTAATGAGTCGTTTGTGCAACAGGCTGTTTATCTTGCTAAAAGGTTTCTGAAATAGCCATCATGAATTTCTCCACGTGTTATCTCCGTTAAATCTTGTCAATCACATCCCTTACCGTAATTAAAATAATCTCTCTTATCTTTTTTTTTAAATTTCCTTAGAGTCCCAAGATTCCTGCACGGTCACCGAACTACGGATCACTCCTTGCGGGAAGTCACCTTGCCCGTTGAAGAAAGGTCGCAATGCCTCCCTATCATTTGACTTCACGCCAAGTAAGTGTATTGCCATGGAACATAATTACACGTAAAAATAAATAAAACAGACAAATGAGTTTAATAATTCTAAACATCTAATTGCCGGCTTTATATTGAGAACATTGTAAAAGAAATCTCTAGATACGAGTCTTCAAAAAGAAATACGTTCTTAAACACAATCAACACACAAACACATCTAAATCTTACTCGTATTTTTGTATTTGTAATAGCCTTCCGCGTGATCTAGTTTTTAGTCCAGAAATAAGAAAATTCCATAAAAACTTTCAACCCTTAATTTATCTTCTTAGGGGTTGAATTTGAGTGACCTTTCGCTTTTATATATTTAGATTTACAACGTCACATTAATTCCAGCAGTTTTGTTATACAAAATATCTAAAGACCTTAAATATTTCAGATTTCGCAACGTCGAAACTGAATACAGCAGTATACTGGGCAGATGATGCATCCGAGACTCCTTTTAATACAGTCGGTATCGCTGACGGATGTCTTTACGCCACATGTCCTGTAGTCGCAGGCACTCCTAACACTCTGAGCTACTCTCTCTACATAGGAAAGAAACTACCCAATGTAAGACCAAAACACAGTGAAATTGTGCTCGCTCATGTGTTATAAATTAGTGACTTTAAATTATCGCAGGCGTCATCTATTGGATTAGCATAGAATTCTCATTCCATTTATTGGACGTGGGGTATTGCAAGATGTAATGAGAAAGTATTTAAAAAAAAACGAAAGTACTAAAAAGCACCTCCACTAGATGGCGAATCTATCAAAAGTTGATGTTTGCAAGAAACGAATGGACCAAAGACAGCCATTTCTGTTTCTTTTAACTAACATATTAAAAAACTGAAATTTGAAAAGTTCGAAACTTATATATCAATACAAATACGAAGAAGTACAAATAGAATATGAGTTGTTTATTGAGTTTCGAAAACTAATTTACTTTTAAACATGAAAGAAAACCGGAAGGGTTATCATGGAGAAATCAAGAACGTACCGTAGCGACATCTAGTTTGATTTCGGGAACTAATATTTTTTTTTACATTACTACAACATCCAGTTGCAGAATGCTGTGATATTTGTAATGTACATTAGTGAAGTAAGGCTAACCATCTTTACCAATAATGATAACCCAACCACACCACACTGTATGTACTACTACAATTTCAAATATCTAACTTTTGTAGAAAAACCACTGTAGAAAATTTTCAGCACCCCATAAATTTTATACAGAAAAGTTAGCGTTGGTACCCATGTGGATGTGAACGCTATCATTAAAAAAAGCTCAGCTCCATGAACATTCATATTCTTATAATCGACTTTTACATATGTGTAATTTTAGAAATGGTGTGAATTTCAGTTCACACCGTTTCTATGACGCTAATAACTAGATTCCAGCTCTACTTTTCGTTTTTTTTTCTTTTTGAATTGTGTAATGTTGTAGCTGGTGTATTTTTATCAATGTATAGATAAAATAAACTCAAAGTGAGCACTTTTTGCAGGGTAAATACTGGTTCCGATGGAAGCTCTGGAACGTGGACGACCCAAACCAATTGTGCTGCTTCGAGACACACGTGCAACTAAAAAAATAGTCATAAGATTTATGTATGTGTAACTGTTATAAACTGAAGGTATAAATTTTATAATGTTGATTTTTTATTTATGGCTCCATATTGCTTAAGCTCCTTTTCTTATAATCAGAAAAGTGTATCTTCATAAGGCGGACTTTATAAACAACTGAATTTAATTATTACTGTAATAATTATTATGTATATTGCAACTTATAAAATATCTGATTTTTGTTACAAAAATACTTACTAAAGGCAAAAGTATTACATAAGTACCAAATGTTTTAAAAACACAGTATAGTTTTTTAATAATATTTTACTTGGTTCTATACCCGTAAGGGGCTGTCCATTAATCACGTGAGGCTCGAAAGGGGGGGGAGGTGTCCATAAAAAAGTCACAAAATATCACAAGGGGGGAGTGGGGGGGTGAAGTAACATATCACGTGTATTTATTTTTTCGACAAACGTGCGATACTCAACCGAAAAGCGGCGTAAATAAGTGTAATAAAATTATTTTTTCGTCAAACGTTCATTAAATAATAATATTCATAAAGTTTTTCGTATTCCTTTCATTATTTTTGTCAATCAAAAACAGCCTACAAGTCCTGTAATCTTTCTGTCTACCTCTAGACATTATTGTACTCTTTAATTGTCTATAAAACAATTAGAAAATTAAGATTCATTGTAAGTACTAAAAATACACGTGATATGGGGGAGGGGGGGGGGTAGTCTTAAACCTCACCACGTATCACTATGGGGGAGGGGAGGTTAAAAAATGCCAAAAAAAAAATCACGTGATTAATGGACGGCCCCTAAAATGAAAGAAGGCATCTAAAGCTGTGAAAAAGAGCATAAAATTATAATAATAAGACATCAAGACAACAATAATGTTGTGAATTTAAAAACAGGAGTTATTATAATAGCGTTTATATTTTTAATGAAAAACGCTAAAAAATCCACTTTGTCCCTGGCACTCTGAGATAGGACATGAACCCATGACCTTTCGCAATCCGGGCGACCGCTTCAACCACTGAGCTACCCAGGACTTAACAGGACTGACGAATCTTTCAAGCACTTGTTAGGGCGCTTGTGCACTACACTGAATTTTCATGTCCGGCGGTCCGATTTATTCAGGTCCGATATGTCAGGCCATATATAGGTAATGCTAGCCTGTGCACTGTCAGGAATTTTACCGTCCGGAATTTTACTTTTCTCTATTCCGGACCGGCTTTTTCAGTTCCGTGATCCGCGGCAATGAAAAACGTGTTTACGCTTGTGCATTGCTGTGTCCGCGATCCGGAACATTCATAAGGAATAGGCTTGGGAAAAAATAATCGATTTGTGTATAATCGATATTTATTTCGGCGATATTGTTAATTTCCAATAAACTTATAATTGATATTTATTGTAGATTATAAAATGCTATATTTTATATGAAGATTTATATAGTAGTTATATAGTTGGTTAATATCACTACATATGCTTTGGCAAACTCAGTATAGTTCTAATTTGATCAGCGTATGGTTCTAGTATCGATACTTCGCTAGGTTTTAGAATCGTATTAAAAGTATCGATAACGTATGGTAACATAAATAAGTGTTGTTACGCTTAGACGCCTAAACAACTGAACCCATGTTAATGGAAATTATTAAATTCATAAGGAATAGGCTTGGGAAAAAATAATCGCTTTGAATCAATATTTATTTCGGCAATATTGTTAATTTCCAATAAACTTATAATCGATATTTGTTGTTGATTATAAAATGCTATATTTTATATGATGATTTAATATAGTTGGTATCACTGCATATGCTTTGGCATATGCTCGGTATAGTTCTAATTTGATCAGCGTATGGTTCTAGTATTGATACTTAGCTAGATTTTAGAATTGTATTAAAAGTATCGATAGCTTAAGGTAAGATAAATAAGTGTTGTTACGCTTAGACGCCTAAACAACTGAACTCATCTAAATGGAAATTAATATAGTAAATAGACTTAACTTTAAGAAAGGTCATAGGCTTCATTTTATCGCGAAAAATAGGGGATGAAAGTTTGCCTGGAAATTTGTCATTATCAGTTTTTTTTAGACAATTGATAAATATAGATAAATATTTGACAACAGAAGTAATAATAAAGAATAAACAGAAGATTAACAAAAGTAATTAAGTGACACTCAATGTCTTCTTCGCATTTAATAAAATTTTAAATGTATGTTTGTGTCATTAATGAATTTAAAAAAAAATAAGTATTCTAAGGGAATAATATTTCTGCTCAAAGAAACTACATTACGCGTATAAAATTATGCCTATATATAATATAGTCAACTGATCTCGTAAACTTCATTTAGCATAATAATTCTCCGCTAACACGGCACTAATTTCGATTTGTTTACGAAATGGCGCCACCGATTGGTCTATCTCTCTAATCGCTGAAAATTGTTTTTACAAAACTTCGAAAAAAAAATAGCACGTTTAAAAATTTAAACATCAAGTACTAGACCATTATCAGTAATTTTATTCTAATGTCACAGATATTTTTAACAATTGTATGTGAATAATGCTGTTCCTAAATTAGTAAGGGTATAAGTTTTTACATCTGATAGTAGTCATCCGATAGTAGTAAAAAAATGCTTCATTCGTCTTGCCATAATTTATTATGATTTATGTAAAACGATCAGATCATTATTTAGGTACCTTTCTACGTCTTCGAACGGAATTTCCGACATTCCAAAAATCTCATCGTACATAGCGTAAGTGACGTGTAGCTTCAAAGAGAGCTGCCCTACACTGCGCCGCTCCGATCAGGAAAAAAACGGACAAGTGCACAAGCTACTCATCCGAGTTTTTCATGTCATTCCGGACCGGAAAAAATCGGACCGCCGGACCTGAAAATTCAGTGTAGTGCACAAGCGCCCTTACTGTTTCGCTAATACAGAGCGTATTCTCATCGAAAAAATTTTCGTCTCTCTGAGATGGAACAAAGTAGATTTTTTAAGCATTTTCCATTAAGCATTGTGAATTCAAAACTGTTCAAATATAATAATTAGAATAAATTTTCATCTTTATCGAAAGTTTAAATATTTGTAAAAAATGTTTCTTTAGGCTGTTTGGGTTGATTCCCTGAACATTAATGAAAATACGCTCTGTAGTGGCTAAAACTAACAAGTGTAATTTTTAATAGAAGTACTCTTAGCTTATCGGTATATTCTCGAAGTACCATTTGACAGTTTTGTTATAACGCCGCTAAGTACGCGAGCTAACGTATGCTATAGCTCTATTTCCGTAACACATATGAACTCATCAGGGGGGCAATTCTACTAAATAAATTTAGTTTCAATCGATCCGTTTTCGATTCGATGTAAACAAAATTTATTTAGTAGAATTGGCCCCCATACGCATCGCACCAAAACTTTTTTACATAAAAAAGTATAATTTGATTTTCTTTATATGACTGTAGAGCTTCATTTAAAAATGCTGTTACATATTATTAATTAGTTGTTCAGCTCAAAGTACAAATACCAGGTAGGTACTTTTACGCTTTGTGAAACAGATAAACAACAGATAGCAGCATGCCCTGAGGTCAATGGGTTGCATCTGACACGTGTTTTCATACCAATTGTTTACTCTTAAAACTTGGTTTCTGGCAATTACATTCAGTGCAGCTTTTGCTAATAAAAATATCAGACTTTTGACAAATGTTGAAATGGTAAGATTTCCAATTGTTTATGTATGGGGGCTTCACATTTCCTCATCATCAGCCCTTTTACTTTCCTACTGCAGGGGATCGGGCCTTCCTTATGGATGTTTTAAAGGAGGATGGGCCATGAGCCCAATGCGAATTAACGACTGCAAATGCAGCTGGGACCATTGGTTTACCGTGCCTTCTGAAGCACGGAGTAGCTCGAGATAATAATTTTTTTGGTCACGCATCCTGTTAACTTGTTTACGGCGCTTATCCACTACACGCCACCGAGCTAATTTAGATTTTATTACACTTTCACTAGGTATACATAAAGTAAAGTTTTCCACAATTCTATTATTTACTACACACAGTGTCTAACAAAGATGCCTACCTCTGATAAGCTCTACACTTTACTATTTATTAGCTACTTATGTGTTCCTTTTACACTACAGATATAAATAACTTTAATAACAAAGATAAGGTTAAGTTTCCGTTCTCATTTCATTTCAGTGGTGATAAAGACTGGTCACGACAATGTTGTTTCAAACTTTGTTCGTTATTTCTTTAAGCTTCTTCGTAAATGCTGAAGAGGTACATAAAAAACTGTGCCCCAATGGTGAGTTTTAAGTTATTTAGTACATAAATTACCTACACAGTTTAATTTAAATTTTACATTATTCCATATTATAAAAATATCCATACTATAGAAAATCCAAAATATAAGAAAACACCCAATAATTAAATGTAAGCAAAGATATTTTGGTATCTACCATAATTTTAAATTGCAAATAATAATTAATAATTACGTATAATTCGAACACGTAAAATTGTTTATTATAATAATCGTCACAGGCTTAGGTTACGGGAATAATACTATAGGTCCGAGTAATTTATCTATAAAGTAAATTCTACTTTAGAATAAAACTAAGTTTACTACTACTTTAGTATAAAACAAAGTTACTTTCTCTGTCCCTATGTATTAAATCTTTAAAACTACGCAACGGATTTTGATGTATTTAAGGTTTGAATGTATAAAACAATACCACGCGGGCGAAGCCGCTGGCGGAAGCTAGTTGTTAATAAAAAGTGAATTTATCATACAAATTCTTTTATATTTTTTCTATAAAAAACATAAAGTTACCCATAATTATTTCGTTTTTTCTCAGCTCTTCTTATTGGAAAAATAGATAAATACGTTACTTCTCGTTGCACAAACATCTTTTAAAATTGTCATTAGTTTAAAACGACATGACCTATACAAATTTTCAATTATAGAACATAAAGTTGTCATTAAACCTTAATGAACGTTTATGCAATTGCGCCGTAGTTACTTTATATCCAAGGGCTTTGTGGAGAACTTATACAAATAGTCGTATTCTCCGATTAATTTTGAACTCCAAATTATTACAATAAGTTCTTATTTCCAGTGGGGTCACACGAATGTGTCGTTCACAGTGTAAACGTAGAACCTTGTCCCCACGGACCAAGGTTCTGTTCCTTCATTTTGGACAAGAGGTACAGCGCCACAGTCGACTTCACTCCATGTAAGTTATTATTAACTTTCAAACTATTAAAATAAAATCCTGATTTGCTGAACATTTATACAGTATATATATAATAATTAATTAATTTTCAAACCAATTATCATCGGAATGATATAAATCGATATATTTTAATTTTAATAATTATTATGTTATAATATTAAAACTACTTACCTAAGCTATGTCTTAACTATACTACATACATCCCCCAAATCATTGCCAACAGGTAAGGCGCCCAGAAAGCTACGAGCGTTTCCTCTTTGAGTAGCCAAACTATTTTTTTAAGCTAGGTACAAACCAGCCTTTTGACCATCAGACCTGTCAAAAAGTTTCTTTCTTAACTCTTGAAAAGACGATGGGCTCCGGGGCCCCACGGACCCATAGTTTAGTATAATTAGGTTATAATGGTTAGTACTTTCGTATCGTCATAAAGCGTAATTATCGGATTCGAGACTAAAAATACATTGGGAAATTCGCAGTTCAGGGAAAGAATAAATCAGGAACTCCATAAATCTTATAATCTGTGATTGTTATTAACAAGACTACCAATCCTCATCACTCTAGAACTATTCCTGAACTGAAACATAAACCGTCTTATTATAAATCGGGGACTAACTTTAATTCTCGTACCTAATAATATTAACTTCCTCGCATTATAATATGATAAAAAATGTCTTTCTCCAGATTTTTCAGCCCACAACCTGATGGTGTCCGTGTCCACGCACCCTCAGGAGACGGTAACCTTCACCGAGCGTATCTACAAGAACGCCTGCCAAAGACTCCTCACCTGCCCTCTAGAAGCTCACATCAGACAATCATTTGATATACCCCTGAACTTCGATCAACCCACGTTGCCTAATCAAGTAAGACCTTTTTATGTTAAATAAATATCGGGTTGGCTAACAAATAACACGGGACAAGCATAACTTAAATTTTTATTTATTTAATTTTGAAATAATGACTAATCATTCACAATGTATTAAACCGTCATTAACTACCACTTTACGCCAGCGATTAGGCAAAGATTGGATTGCGTCTCTGTAAATCTTTGCCGGCTTAGATTTGAAAAAGTCATCTATGTACTTTTGTAACTGGGGTTTATGGAATATGACCGGAATGTACTAAAATCTGTTGGCGCTAAGTCCGGCGAATACGGAGGATGTAGAAATATTTCCCAGTTCAGCTCCAATAGTTTCTGTCGGGTACGCTTAGCAATATGCAATCGGGCATTATGATGGAGGAAAAATATTTTGTCATGTTATGAATAGTCTCCACATTCGTTGGAACCACCGCTTTGCTGTTGCCTCGGAAACTGCGTCATGAGCTATATATGTTAGTGCAGCTTCTGCAGCGGAATGGCCAGATTGGTACTCATGTAATAAACAATGTTGGAGATGAGTTTTAATATGGTTATTTTATTCGTTGAAGTTAACGCAACGACATTCGAAGTACTACTGACGCGCATGATCACGACTCGCTCTTCATATACCCCCCGCCACAGAACGTCCTCGACCCTACACTCAAAGTTTCTAGAAAATAAAAATTAAAACGCTCATTACTTATTAGCCAACCCGATACATACTATAATAAGACAAATTCATATGCGTTACCTACTCGAAGAGCTCGATGGCACAGTAGATAGCGCGCTCGGGTTGCGATAGAGTTCTTAAGCAAATTTCGCAATGGCCTGTCACAGGAAGGGTGATCGAAAATTTATTTCCTCGAGCTCCTCCGTGCTTCGGAAGGCATGTTAATAGTCGTTAACATCCACCAATCCGCACTGGCTTCGCGTGGTGGGTCATGGTCCATTTTAACTATTAGATTTTACCCGATTCCACTCATACATTAATTCCATAAGGAAGGCCTATGCCTAGCTGTAGGCAAAATTAATAGGATGCTGATGATGACAATGATATTAATTACTCAGGTGCTATTCTGTTATAACAATAGCCTCAAACTCGACAAAATGTAATATAGGTTTTACTTCATTTAAGCTTTATACTGTCACAGCTGTGCTTGACGTTGAATTGGATACTGTCTCTAAAGGAACAGCATAGCTGCTCTGGGGTAAAGATAGATAGATAGACAAAAAATATGATGTCATTCCATTTAAGATGAATAAAAATAATCCATTTTTTTTCAGAGTAAATTCCCTGTTCAAGTGAAGTTGTGGAACGCTGATGACACTTCTCAATTCTGTTGTTTCACATTCAAGGCGAAAATCAAGTGAAATTATATATTATTTTACTATATAGATATTTGATTATATGTTAAATAGACCAGTTTTTAAATACATACACACCTCCCAGACAAAGGTACTGTATTCTGATAAAATTAGTAATGAAGCAAATTGTCTTAGAATTATATCTATACATATTAAATATTAAGAAATACAAACATAAATAAAAAAAACACTAATATGTTTTTTTTAACACCATTTGACTCTGTGTATCGGATTACGATAGGTCATGAGTTCAAGTCCCATCTCAGAGTGTTCAGGGGCATCTCAGGGGCTAAGTGGAAATTTTTAAGCATTTTTTATTAAGAACATTATTTCTCAATCAGAATTTTGTTTCAGTTTATTGACAAAGATCACTGTCTTCTATCTGCTTCTATGCTCGGTCGTATCATCGTATCGCACTTATGAAATTCAACACCAATCCTTAACAATTCTCGGGGCCAACCACACATATATTCGTAGCTTTAAAATGTTTTCCACCAAATTGTACCCTTACGACTATTTTCCCCACTAAGACCTTTACATCTTTATGACTCCTGCCTAAGATTCACATAGGTACGTCACTATTACATTTCCACCTTTCCCTCTAACATAGCTAACCTAATATTCTTAGCGTCAAATGAGTTGTGAACTTACTGATCCAATCATCAAGTAAAATAGAATTTATTATTATTATTGACATTATAATATTTCAAGAATTTTTAATCTATCTTACTTATAAGCATCACTCATTAAGTTTATATTGTTTCTCTATTATATATCTTCTAAAATACATATTAAATTAAAACTACTTATCTAAACTTAAAATAATATCTAAACTAAATTAAAAATGTCTCCCAGATCATTGCCTACAGGTAAGGTACCCAGAAGGCTGCGAGCGTTACCTCTTTGAATAGCTAAACTAATTCTTTGGGCGAGGTACAAACCAGCCTTCTGATCACCTGACCTGTCAAAAAGTTTCTTTTTTAACTCTTGATAAAGACGATGGGCTCCAGGGCCCCACGGACCCATCGTTTCGACCCCAAACGGCTCAAATATGTAGGTATTACTTATACCTGAATATTTGCGCCGTTTGAGGCTTTCTGCAGCAGCGGCGGCTACACCCGCCTCAAGACATGTTCGTGGAAGATGAGTTGGCGCCAAAGTATCAACGCAGGTGGCATCCCATACTAGGGGTCGACCCATCCTCCAAGGTACCAAAGACATCCCATCAGGTCTCTTACCGTCGTCGCGAGTCAGCCCGTTCGGTTCTAGAATGGCTGGCACTGACGCCGTAGCAAGAGCTCGACGGATAATATCATTGATACTTGCATGTCGAGAGATACGACCGGCACTTCTGCTACAAGATAAGCCGTGATGACCTAAAGAGTCCACCGTTTCACCGCAAGGGCAAAGATGGGGGAGATTACAGGTTGCCCCCAGGCGAAGACAAACTGAAAGGCGAAAAGTTGTATTATCTAGAAGTGTCCCAACAGTCGATGACGGCAATACTTGTAACCAAAGACCCGATTCCCACTCAGCGACAGCTAAGAGACGAGCATGCTCTGCAGAATTGGCAGACGTGTTTAATAGATTATTCCGTACCAATTTACAGAGCGGCTCGTCCCAATGTTTTTGAGCTGTCATTACTGTTGGAAAATCACTTCCAGATAATATCTCCCAAGCAGTTTTTGCCTCGGCCATATTGGAGATAGCAGCAGCTGAAGATGTTTTAGACAATATTTTTTTATTCAGGTCATAGGTGCTATGGACCGAAGATAAAAATGCTGGAAGGGCAACACTAGAAATTTTGCGTAAACCTAAACCTCCGAAGCGTATAGGAAGAGAAGCCTGGTCCCAAATTTTGTCACTAATATCGATATTAAGTATAGTGGAAACAATTTCTTTTATTGCTTTGTCCATTGAAAGTGTAAGGTTTGTGTGTTTCCAAAAAGGTGCTGAACGTAAAACATAGGTAAATTGAGGAACAAACAGACAATAACGCATAATTGTGAAAGCCATTTGATTATTAATTTTTAGTAAACGATCAGCAAATGACTTAAATTTTATTACTTTTTGTTCAGTGAACTGATTGAAATATTCATCACAAATTGGAGACCCTAAAAGTGAAAGTGACTGTTTACATATAATTTTTATGCCCGGAGCTAGAGCATTAAATTTGGAAATTATGGATTCTTTTTCATTGACTGTACTAGGAATATAGAGCTCGCATTTACTAAAATTTAACTCTAGGCCACAATTTTCTAAATTTTCGATTAGATATTTTAGATCTGAAAAAACTGATTCGGCTTCTCCTCCTAACGTACCATCATCCAGATACCACACATTGAATTTAGAATTTAGATTTGAAATAATTGGATGAATAGCTAAACCAAAAAGTGCCGGCCCGAGTGGGTCACCTTGTTGACATCCTACGGAAGAGGACAAAAGGTGGTTTTTATAAATCAATTTCGAAGGTGATCTATAGCATTGCCATAAGAAATTGTATATAGATGGTGTTTTGTCTTTTATTTGTGTCAACAGGGTGGACCTATCTACCGAGTTGAAAGCATTTTTTACATCTACCTTCAAGACAAGATCTTCTGGTTGAATATCTAAGAATGTTCTAAGAGAATGTATTGCCGCTTCACAACCACATTTTATTCCAAACCCTAGCTGTAAAGGGTCGAAGTAGTTGCTAAGCGTGCTACGAATTGACTTACAACATATTTTAGCAGCAAGACGGCGAAAAGTAGAACCTACCGCGATTGGTCGGATACCACCATCTTTTTTCTTAAGAGCGCAAAGATTCGCACCATAGAGAATATCTACAATCGCGGTATGAACGTTACCTGAGAGCATTAAATTTATAAGTTTAGTTAATTCCTTTAAGAGGCTTTCACCAGCTTCACCATTGTTACCACTTAAGAGATCTTTTAGGTGTTGAGGCGTCAGACCATCTAGTCCACCGGCAGAACCACCTCTAAAGGAATTGACTGCATCCAAAACATCGCGTGATTCTGTCTGTAAAAAAGCATCAGAAGAAATAGGAGGGTTTGGAAATGTAGAATTTGGTCTTGATGGAGGATGTTTGCTTTCAAGGGCTATAAGAGTTTCTGGAATATCTGGTGCGACAATGTCATCGGAAAATAATAGTCGAGATGCGCCTTTGATATCACCTTCACTTATTTTGGTTTCTACGTAATGAAATAACGATTTAGGTTTGTTTCTATTGGGGTAATTTGACGGAAAGTGTATATTTGTCTTCTGACAATTTTCTTTGATAATAGCTGTTAGCGATTTTGGGTTGTTAGTATGATCTGGACAAGCGTGAAGAATTTTGTAAGCAAAGGTTAATAGATGTTCCCAGGCTTCAGGAGTATTTTTCAAATTGACTTTTTTAATTGTTTTTGTCAATTCCTCGGCAACAGCAATACGTGCTCCTCGAGGAATTCTCCTTATGATGGGAATCGAGGACTTCAATTTTGAAATTATTTGCCAAAAAGGTTGTGATAATGTATCATTATCATATGTTTGCCGGATCGGATTATGTGATGATTGATTGTTTGGCTGTGCTAATTCTTTGTGAGACCGTGATAAATGTATTTTCAGACCTCTGGCCCCTTTGAAGTAGCGAGCTTGAGAACATCGTGGGCATTGAACTAAATTTTCCGATGAAATATCAGATACTAGATTACCTTGGTGACCAAAAACTGAATTGCCTGGGGTATTGCCTGCATTGTCTTGACTTAGAGACATATAAAAAAAAACAACAACAACAACTTATATAAAAACACAAACTTAAAACAACACTGTAAAAATCACACTTTGTAAAATTTGTTTATATTGTTTGTTTACAAAAATGACACGTGAGTGAGGGCGAATCAGTTTGTATTGCCGATGGAAAACACCAATCGGGGAGCATCTTTTTGACATTTTGTCTGACATTGGGCTGTTGTCTAGGTGACTGGCATGGCAGTCATCGGTCACAAATTATATGTCTTATTTAGACTCGATACTATCACAAATCCTATTAATATTATAAAGGCGAAAGTTTGTAAGTATGGATGTATGGATGTTTGTTACTCTTTCACGAAAAAACTACTGGACGGATTTGGATAAAACTTTACAGCAATATAGGTTATACATCAGAATAACACATAGGGTACTTTTTACTGGGAAAACTTCTCACTCCCACGGGATACCGACTTCCACGCGGACGAAGTCGCGGGAATATAATAAATCATCATAATTTTTAAATGATATTCTTTGAAGTTTCTTAAAAAATTCTCTACTTACCATGACAATGTCGTGAAAACATAGAAGAAACATAACATAGCTTTGTTTTAGTGCTTATATAACCCTTGAAATGCTTCATTTAAAACTGAATAATAACTTTGAAAGTCCATAGTTGCGTTTATAATTAAGGAAGGTTTTTTTAATGTCCCAGTATCAATAATCTTATAACTTTCCCTTACCATTATTCGCTTGTAACAATGACTTTTTACATTAGAACATGTTATCAAAGATCAGCAATTATATTCTTCTATCAAAACATCTTGTTATTTGTTAACCAGATGTTAAGCCTCATTTAAGGCACGGTGTTAGTGAAAATATCTCTTAGCGCATCTTATTGGATCAATTTCACTATCATTGTCATTTAACTTAAGGCGTTATAAACTTATTTGTTTTTATTTCTATTAGAACTTTCGAAAATTATGTATGGTTGTAAAAAAAAGTACAATTAGGAATCGCGAGCTGTGTATGCCGTGCAAATATTTAATATTAAAAATTGTTAAGTTCATAAAAGTTTTTCCTTGATACATAGGTTAAGAAATATTTTCTGTACTTTTTCTATATTATAAGCCATTTTTGGAGTAGTTTGAAGAGCAAGATTTTTTCTTCTCTTAAAAACTCATTAGTTATTTATTTTTAAAATTATAATTATAGACATATAGTAAATATATGCGTATTTAAAACTCATGTGGATTTAGGATTTTAAAAAAAATATATTATAAAACCATATTTTCGCATATAGTTCGGTCAGTTACTCAAAAATTATTATGCTAAAATAAATTGTGACATTTTAATAGTATGCCATTGTAAATTCGGACATACAAAAATTCGAGTGATCGACAATGCCTTTATGAGTATTCAAGTTTGTGCCAATATACCAAATAATTGCGTAGCATAGAATCAACTGCAAATCAGAATCTTACTATCAACAGAATCGAAATAGGAAATACACTCTATTTGGCAAACAGCAATGGTCTCATAAACAAGCAAGTTCTGTTATATTACTAATTATTATTTTATCTTCCAAGTGAAAGGGCAGTAAGTAGTCACTTCCGGCGTTATCACAGGAACCGTCCTACTGATAATCTACCAGACAACTCCTTATACCACGCAACATGTACTAGACAGT